AAAAAAAAAAAAAAAAAAACAAACATTATAATATACAAGAGCTGAAACCTAAATAAGAGCAGTTCGGTGTTTAAAATAAAAGAAACTGCGGCTCTCGGATGACCTCTTGTAATTGAGAAGAAAAAAAGGCGCTGGGAATCAGGAGGAATATTGAAAGAGTGCAGAAAGGAATAAAAGCACAGACGCTCTGAGGAAAGAGATGGGCAACAAAACAGGATATGGTTAATGTCACGGACAGACGGAGAGCGATGTAGTGTATGAAGAGGCTCAATAATTGAAAGACAGTTTAATAGCGCGGAAAGGAAATAAGGTATGCCCAAGCCGGAGACGAGAAAAGGAGCAAATTACTTTACGTGATAGACGGAGTTTGAAAAACTACCGAATAGAAGAGACGATGGAATTAATATTTCTATACAAAGTTGCAAAATCAGGGGGGGGAGGGAGATTAGAGAAAGAGCTAAAACAAAGGTGTATGTACACAGTGATTGAGATTGGGGCAGAAATCTGACCAAGGAACCAAATCAGTTGATTGCAGGCGAATTGAGGGGGTTGATTTGGCCAGAGAACCAGCGAATTCATTGCCGAAAATATCCGAGTGGTAAAAACGTAAACGGATAAAATACTATTTTACGAATAGCGGAAACGAAAAAATATTATCAATTTATATATCTGGACGAATGGAGAACATCAACGTCTATAAGAATCGTCCGTTTTCTATCTCGGGTAAATCCCCCCCCCCTATTTTTCGCACGTGTCTAACCGGGAAATAACGTTCAGAGGGGGATAGGGGGGGGGAATACGGGTGTTAATATTTCGTTTAGAACGACTGCACGCAGCAGCATATGCTACACAAACCGCCGACGAGGATTCACCTGAGTAAATAAATAGGGTACCCCGTAACGTTTCCAACGTTCGGTTTGGAAATCGCTCGGGTACCTATCTAAAAAATCGTACTATTAAGCGTAAAAATAGGTCACCCCGACGGGCCACCAGACGCTATACGGTGGAATAATCACGAAACGAATTCAGGAAACGTAGGCAGATAATAATAATAATAATAACAATAATAATGGCAGCGTCTGACGTATAATATTAATTTTCTTCTGTAACACGCCGAGTTTATTCTTCTGTAACACGCCGAGTTTATATTGGACAAAGATAATAACAATAATATAAGTATTGCTATTATATTGGACAAAGATAATAACAATAATATAAGTATTGCGAATCGCGTACGACATGCGAATCGCGTACGACANTTCAGGAAACGTAGGCAGATAATAATAATAATAATAACAATAATAATGGCAGCGTCTGACGTATAATATTAATTTTCTTCTGTAACACGCCGAGTTTATATTGGACAAAGATAATAACAATAATGTAAGTATTGCGAATCGCGTACGACAGAATACAGATAAAAAAAAATAAAAAAAAAAAAACATCAACGCACGCGAACGTGTTAATAATTTTGTATGCGACGATAATATAATATCTTGTCGAATAGTCGAAACGTCCTATATAAATAGGCGGGTATCTAATTTTTACAGTGCTCACGAATTACATTGGGAAATAACCGGGTTCGGCGAGTTCTATGCGCCAAGGTCATCGCCGAAATCAAATACAAAAACAACAATGTAAAAACGATACCTGGCCAGAAAAATTATCCGACGGTATTATTGTCCGCCGGACGAGTAGAATGCACGGATTTCATCCCGGGCCGGGAGGGCGGGCGAGAGGGTTGGAGGAAAACCGATCGTGCCGTCGGTGTTTTGACGTGAC